TAACAATAATAATATTACTACTATTATTATTACATACACACACACATACACACACATACACACACATACACACACACACACACACACACACACACACACACACACACACACACACACACACACACACACACAAGAGTAGATAAAGGCGAATATGCATGAGGATGAATACCCAATCACAGACTAAAACTGACAGGAAATTGACATAATCCGACTTATGTTTTATTTTATTTTCGAATCTTGAAATATAAATTCATGAAACATTTAGATGATAAAATCGTACCATGCATAATACAATATATATATATATATGTATATATGTAGGAGAATTGGGGGGAACTACAAGGAATGAAATAAACGGAAAGTTACAAATATTACAGGTGATGGACAAAACGGTCTTTGAATCATGAATTTGCATATAACTGAAGAAGAGAGGAAGAAGCATAAATTTCAAGAAGAAGAAGGAGGAAAAAATATGAAACAATAAATCAAGGTAAAGTACGAAGGAGGAGAAGGAAAAGATTGAGAAAACAAACCATATCAGAAGGAAGGAGAATAAAAAAAATGAAAAAAATGAAGTGGAGGAGGAAGAATAAATAAGAAGAGAAAATGGAAATAGAAGACAAGATGAAGAGGAAGAAACGAAGAAGAGAATGATTGTAAAGTGCGTTAAAACCGTAATTCTGCGAACCAAAATAAATATATTATATCTTAACACACAAAAAAACAAGTGACAAAAATATACAAAACAATAACATTATGGCAATATACATTAAAATTAATATCGTAAACACAGCACAACCATAAATCTCGAAAATGTACATAATTATAGATCATAAAATCTTTTTCTCTTGAAATGTATTTCGAGAATACAGATTTATCATAATCATTGAACATCGGGCCTGAGTATCGCCACACATTTACAATCAAACTGGAAAACACTTCAGTTCTTTGGCATGATCTGTAAAAAGGAATCCATATAACTGGACTTCGGTGCAGAATATCGTTAAAAGTAATTATGAAATTCATGCATAAAAGGATATTAGAAATTTTGATCTTTGTGATGTTTTACATGTATAGGTGTATACTGTATAAACATACAATATAATCATGTCTCTACATATGCATATATGGATAAATGCATACATTTACCGTGTGTGAGTCCACATATAAGTATGTATATATATATATATATATATATATATATATATATATATATATATATATATATATATATATATATATATATATATACATATTCATATATTTATGCATATGCATGTCTGCACGTGTATACACACGCATGCACAAACATACACACACACACACACACACACACACACACACACACACACACACACACACACACACACACACACACACACACACACACACATACATACATACATACATTCATACATACATACATACACACATGCATGCATGCATGCATGCATGCATACACACACACACATACATACATACATACATACATACATACATACATACATACATACATTCATACATACATACATATATATATATATATATATATATATATATATATATATATATATATATATATATATATATATATATATATATATATATATATATATATATATATATATATATATATATATATATATATATATATATATATATATATATATATATATATATATATATATATATATATATATATATATATATATATATATATATATATATATATATATATATATATATATATATATATATATAGTATATATATATATATATATATATATATATATATATATATATATATATATATATATATATACGTATATATATATATATATATATATATATATATATATATATATATATATATATATATATATATATATATATATATATATATATATATATAAGTGTATATGTATATATATAATTTGATATAACGCTGTAAAGTGGATATATGTAGCCTGTAAAATTGTGATATAAAATGCTATTATCAGTGTATTTAGTTATTATAATACTCTTATTAAAAATTGAAAATGCTTTCATACAGAGCAATTTCCTTAAGAACCGCTGACTGTAAGAATGATAATTGTTCCCACCTTATTAACAACAGGAAGAAATATTTGATGGTAAATCACAGATGAAATCTAATACTGAATATCTTATAAATATATACAAAAATGTAAGAGGAGGGGGAGGGGGTAGAGTGAAGGGGGGGGAGGTCATGAAAGGTGTACATGTGCGAATTCAGAATCTCTGAAAATGTCTTCTTTCTTTCTTTCTTTCTTTCTTTCTTTTTTTCTTTTTCTGATGCTTAAATATTCGGACTATTTCAAATTTGTTAAAGAGTAGTGACGATTTTCGAATCGAATGGGAATAGGGTCAAAAATGAAATTAAGGCCTAAGAAAACAGATGGTAATGATGTCGAGGATGATACCAACAGACAGACAAATGATAAATGGAATAACGAAGGAGCAAATCCACAAACAGAAGATGAATGAATGGGTGAAGAGAGCCAGCCCGGAAGCAAGAGCCTCAGGCGACAGCAGGAGCGCCTCGCCACGCCCCTCTTCTAGACAGCCGCTTTCTCGTCGACGATGAGGGGGCCGTTCTCGTCCCTCTCGTCGTCTTCGTCCTCCTCGTCGATCGTCAGTCGACCCGACTCGACGATGCGGAAACACTCGAGGAATTCGTTGAAGTCGATGTATCCGTCCTTGTTGATGTCGATCGAGCGGGCCAGGTCGGCGATGTCGTCCTTGGGGATCGGGACGTCGATGTGGCGACTCAGCAGCTCGCACGTCTCGCTGAATTCGTCCATGCTGATGTAACCTTTGGGGAGTCAGTGAACGGGGGGTGAGCTCTTGTCTGAATAAATGGTATAAGTTCATGGAGAAAAGGGTTCGTCCATATTAATGTAAGATTCTTTGGGGGAGACAGTTGACAGTTTGTAAGCTCATGTCAGAATGTGAATAGATATATAGTGTAGTCTTTAGGGGTGTCGGCGAGAGTCAGTTAGCAGCTGGTAAGATTGCGTCTGAATATGAATAAATGATGCACAGATGAAGAAAATGATTCGTCCATGCTGATGTAATTTTGGAGGGAGTTATTTAATGGTTGGTAAGTTCTTGTCTGAGTATGAATAAGTGATATATCAAAGGAGAAACGAGTTCGTCCATTCTAATGTTATCTTTAGGGGAATTAGTCAATGGTTTGTAAGCTCATGTCAGAATATGGGTAATACTAATAGCTTTGTCTAAGCTGATTTAGCCAGACTCAGAGAGAGACAGTTAATGAGTGATAAGCTCTTGTGTGAACCTGAATAATTTATGCATGGAAACATGGATTCGTATCATGCAGATGTGGGATCGATAAATTCATGTTAGAATATGAATTGATTAAACTATAATGAAGAAAATGATTCGTTGCATGCTGATGTAACCTTTGAGGGGGTCAGTTAATGATCTGTAAGGAAATATGTATTCGTGCATGCTGATGTGTGAGTTAGTTAAGGGTTGATAAGCTCTTAACTGAATATGAATAAGTAATATATTAAATGAGATACGAATTCATGCACTCTAATGTAACCTTTATGGGAGTCAGTTACTGCTATGTAAGCTCTTGTCTGAATATGTCTGAATCAATGGAGTTATTAATTGAAGAAGTTATCGATGATTAGATGAATCAATGAATGAATAAGTGCATGCAATATGTTGAACTGATAATCATAGATAATCATCAAAGAAAGTCAGAAGGAATATGGACATAAACAAATCAGTTTTTATAGAAATAGATAAAGGCGTGTAAAACAGACTGACAAATAGAAAGGGAGGTCGATAAATGGGAAATTAAATAAAAAATAAGTAGATAATGATAGCTAGTTAGAGAGAAAATATTGAGAGAGAGCAAGAGCGAGAGAGGGGGGGGGGGGGGGGAGAGAGAGAGAGAGAGAGAGAGAGAGAGAGAGAGAGAGAGAGAGAGAGAGAGAGAGAGAGAGAGAGAGAGAAAGAGAGAGAGAGAGAGAGAGAGAGAGAGAGAGAGAGAGAGAGAGAGAGAGAGAGAGAGAGAGAGAAAGAAAGAAAGAAAAAGAAAAAGAAAAAGAAAAAGAAAAAGAAAAAGAAAAAGAAAAAAAAAGAAAAAGAAAAAGAGACAGACAGAAAAAAGAGAGAATACAACATACCTGAATTATCTTTATCAATTAACCTGAAGATCGTCTCCATACTACTCTTGTGTCTATAAAGAGCTTCGACCACCGTAGGACCGCCCTGAAGGAAGTAAAGACAATATTACTATTCTGTTTTAGTGTTATTTGTTAATGAATCTTTATCTGTTCCTTTGTCTGTATTTTGTTTTATTACTGTGCGTGTCTGATTGTGGGTTATGGTGTTTTTGTTTCTGAATTGCGATGTTATTATGATCATCATTATCATCAGTAGTAATATCGTTATAGTAATATTTGTTATCATATTTATCCTTAATTTCCGTCATTATGGTCGTTACGATATTTTTTTTTTCTTTTTTTTTTGTTATTGCTTTTGTTGTAGATTATATAGTTCTCATGATTTCCATCAGTATCGCTATTAATACTGTTACTACTACTGTTACTGTTTTTATCGTTATCAATAACATTATCTGTGTTACAATACTATTAGCATTACCATTAATTTCGAACCTCATACCATTAAATCATTAGCAATAATTCTGAAGCTCATATCATTAGCATGAATTCCACAACCACATTATTAGCATTAGTTCTAAACCTCAGATCATTAGCTTTAATTCTGAATCTCATATCATTAACATGAATCACTAGCATTTATTCTGAACATTATTAATCATTTCGCATCTCAAATCATTATTATGAATTCCAAACCTTATATCAGTATCATTATTTCCGAAACTCATACAATTAGCATAAACGCCGAACCTCATAAGATTAGCATAAGTCACCATCATTCACCCACTCCCCCCCCTCTCCCCCACCTCACCTTCACGGCCAAATTCTTCTTGAAAGTTTCCTCACTGAAGGTACTCCTGTAATCGACCATATCTGTGATGGGATGCAATGTCACTATCTTCTCCCTCAGCACTCGCCACGGCAGGTTGAGGTGACTCTCTCTTTCCATCACTTCCACCCAGTCGCTCACGGTGATGTACCCTGGAAGAGGAAGAGAGAAGAAGAGAATGATGAGGAAGGGAAAGAGTCAAATATTACGTCACTTCCACCCAGTCGCTCACGGTGATGTACCCTGGAAGAGGAAGAGAGAAGAAGATAATGGTAGGAAAGAGGAAGGTTGAATTAAATCGCCACTTCCAATTAGTTACTCACGGTGATGTAATCTGGAAGAGAAAGAGAGAAGAAGAGAAAGGTGGGAAAGGGGAAGAGTCAAATATTACGTCACTTCCACCCAGTCGCTCACGGTGATGTATCCTGGAAGAGGGAGAAGTGAAGAAGAGAATGGTAGGAAAGGGGAAAAATTGAATTAAATCGTCACTTCCACCTACTTACTCACGGTTATGTACCCCGGAAGAAGAAGAGGAGAAGAGAAGAATAAGAGAATGGTATGAAAAGGAAGGATGAATTAATCCGTTGGGGATTTTTTATCTTTCTTTTATGGTTCAGAAACTTAGAAGAGGAAGAAAGAAAAATAAGCGGAGAATTGCAAATTAGGAAATACATAGTGGTCCGTCTGGAGTAAAACAAGAACAAAAAGATACACGAGATGAAGGAAAACAAGGCATTATTTGATATTGAAAATTATGGATCATTTGATGGGAACATTATGGATCATTGGGTGGGAAAATTGTGGATCTTTTGAAGGGAAAATTATGGATCATTATATGGAAATATGTGGATCATTGGATGGGAAATTTATTGATCAGTGGATGGGAAAATCATGGATCCTTTGATGGGAAAATTATGGATCATTGGATGGGAAAATTATTGATCATTTGAAGGGGAAATGTGGATCATTTGAAGGGAAATTGTCGATCATTTGAAGGGAAATTATGGATCACTGGATGGGAAGTTTTGGATCTTTTGAAGGGAAATTCTGGATCGTTGGATGGGAAAATTGTGGATTATTTAAATGGAAAATTATGGATCATTTGAAGGGCAAAATATAGACCATTTGTTGGGATAATTGTAGATCAACAGAAGGGGAAAATATGGTTCCTTTGATGGGGAAATTATAGATTTTTTATGGAAAAAATATATAAGGATTGGGAAATAATGGGATTTATGTCTTAAGGATTTTTTTCAAATCTAGTTTTACCTTTAGTTTCAACTTTCTCTTCTCGTGATTTGAAATAAGTAAAAATGAATAAATAAGAAGCAAGATTTGATGATATTCATGATGGAATATCTTTGACACATTTTCAATCGTGATAAAAACTATTAATTTCTGTTCTTAATAATAGAATAAAGACTTATACACGGAAGAAAATGATATGTAAAGAAATTGTATAAAAACGAGTGAGGTTTTATTCGGTAATATTCTGTTTTATTTGCATTTTTTTTCTCTTTTGCTTTCTCTCTCTGTGACTTTCACCCAGTCATTCTTACGGTCGTGGAATGTACTTAGCATAAAGAAAACAGGATTAGGTAAGAAGTAAAGAGGTTTAATCATTAATTTATTTTACGATCCAGTGACTTTCAGTTCTGGATGAAAATAAGTTCTCTGAAAAAAAGAAAAAAATAGAGAATAGAGAATCAAAAAGATATATATATTAATTTGGTATGTTATTAAGGAAGGATTTTTAAGGCTCTATTAGTCTTCAGTTATATATTCTACAGTAGCTTTCCTTTTCTTGGTGTAACTATTCATGGTAACTTAGCCTTCAATGTGAAAGAAAAGAAGACGAAGGGCAGAATATAATAAAAAGGAAAAAGAAAAACAGGGAAGAAACTTGTTATGATTATGTGAAGTTTCAGTCCCTAATAATATACTGTATTTCGGTTCAGTTTCCTCTTTCCTGGTGATTTACAACGGGAAGGAGATAAGTTTAGAGGGAAATATATATCTTAGTAAGTAAAACTTTTCATTCTTGAGAGTGTTGGGGATGAAGAGGAGACCGGATGAGGAGGAACTCCACTGACTAAAACGGTATAAGTTTTGTTTAAAAGACTCTTCGTTATATGTGAAGTTGTGCTGAAGTAATGGTAAGATTAAATATATTGCAAAAGCGTGTTAGATTGTTTATTTCTTCCCTTACTGTCACTGGCTTCTTTTTTTCTTTTCTTCTTCTTTATCTTCTTCTTTTAAGATATATCAGTAATGTGTAAATGATTTAGTTGTTAAAGATCAATAGTGTTTTCTTCCTCAATAAGTATTTACCTTCTCTTCACTTAATTGTCACGTACCAATTATAATAATCACATAACTTTCCTTCTTACCCTAACATTCCTACTTATCATCCTATTGAGAATCAAGATCACGCGCAACACATTCTTTTCTTACGCGTTTCTTACAAGTCCTCCTTAACGATTCTTTCTCATA